GCTAAGGTGTGGCAAAGCTGCGTCTTCCCCGTCCGAAACTCCCCAAACAGCTCCGTCAGGTTCCCTGCAAGCAGCAGCAGCAGCAGCAGCAGGAGCAGCAGGAGGAGCAGCAGCTGAGCCCCCCCGCCCGCCCCCAGCAGCAGCAGCAGGAGCAGCAGCTGAGCCCCCCCGCGCGCCCCCAGCAGCAGCAGCAGGAGCAGCAGCTGAGCCCCCCCGCGCCCCCAGCAGCAGCAGCAGCAGCAGCAGCTGAGCCCCCCCGCCCGCCCCCAGCAGCAGCAGCAGCAGCAGCAGCAGGAGCAGCAGCAGCAGCAGCACCGGTCTCGACGCCGCCGCCGAGGAGCGCGTCGAGGTGGGCGCTGCCAGTGGTGAAGCGGATGAGGTTGCGCCTGGCGGCGAAGACCTCGTGGGCGGAGCAAAAGCCGAAGCTGCAGAGCTGCCTGGCGGCGGCGGCGACTTTGGCGGCGCGCAGCTCGCCGAGGCCCTTCAGGGCGGCCAGGGCTTTCGGCGGCGCGAAGGCGACGCACTCCACCGTGTGGAGTCCGCCTGGCCAGACAACCAAACAGGGCCGACGCTCTTAAACGCTGTTTCGGGGTTTTTCTGCGGCAGACGCTCTTAAACGCTGTTTCGGGGTTTTTCTGCGGCAGACGCTCTTAAACGCTGTTTCGGGGTTTTTCTGCGGCAGACGCTCTTAAACGCTCTTAAGGGGTTTTTCTGCGGCAGACCCTCTTAAACGCTCTTAAGGGGTTTTTCTGCGGCAGACGCTCTTAAACGCTCTTAAGGGGTTTTTCTGCGGCAGATGCTCTTAAACGCTCTTAAACGCTCTTAAGGGGTTTTTCTGTGGCAAACGCTGTTTGGGAGTGTTTGTGTGGCAAACGCTGTATGGGAGTGTTTGTGTGGCAAACGCTGTTTGGGGGTTTTTCTGGGGCAAACGCTGTTTGGGGGTTTTTCTGGGGCAAACGCTGTTTGGGGGTTTTTCTGGGGCAAACGCTGTTTGGGAGTGTTTGGGGGCTGCTGGTTGGCGGGTTGCGCTGGCGCTTCGCTTACCCTCTCGCAGAGTCTCCAGGTCCTTTTTCGTCAGCCCTTTCGCCAGCAAGTGCTCCAGCTTCAGCGGCCCCGTCTGCAGCTCCTCGCCGCGCTGCGTCAACAACGCCGCCAAACAAACCGCCGCAAGTTCTGTCTCGGCAGCTCATGCGGTGTCTCGGCAGCTCATGCGGTGTCTCGGCAGCTCATGCGGTGTCTCGGCAGCTCATGCGGTGTCTCGGCAGCTCATGCGGTGTCTCGGCAGCTCATGCGGTGTCTCGGCAGCTCACGACATCGTGGTGTTGCTGCTCTGCTGCTTGTCGGGTTTCTTGAACTGTGGAGCTCATTGCGCACTGAGGGTCTTCGGTGTTGCAGCGACCTGCGGTTTGCTGCTGCGGCAGCGAGAAGGGGGCCCCCTGCTGCAGCAAGCCGCAGCGCCGGAGGGGACTAGCAGCAGAGCGCAGAGGGGCCCCCAAGAGCTCCTAGAACTGCAACTGCGAGGCCTGCGGACTTCAAAATTGAATAAGTGGGAGGCAGGGGTTCTGCGCTGCGGGGGATACGCTGCTTTCTTCCTAGGGGGTCTGTACAGCTGAGCGGCCGCGCCGGCGCCCAGCGGAGAAAGGCAAATCTTCAATTCGAAAACGCTAAAAGTCAATCAAATGCTTTTTAGTTCTTCGCAAAAAATCAAAGAAAAGATTCGCTGCGGGTCTGTCAGTCGCTCGACTGCTCAAACCGCGGCGGCGCAACACCAACCCCACCAACGGAAAAGCAGGCTGATCCCCGCGAAATCTTCCACTAAATTCGCCCAACGATCTTTTATTTCTAATTATTTAATTTAAATGTCGTAAAAATCAAAAAATAAAGAAAGAAGAAGGAATATTCGTCCACCTGTGACGCCTTCGTCCGCGGGCTGCGAGACCCGCGGGTTCCTTCCAGTGTACAGACACCTGGGGGATGCAGATGCAAAACTGGAACTGGTTGCCGCTAAATCATTTTAAATTTGTCTTAAAATAAATTTAAAACTTTTTTTTTAATATTCAAATGTTAATTTGTTTCTTTTCTGCGGACAATTCAGCTGCAGCGCCGCTTCTGCAGGCTGCGGGGCTCTCCGTCCAACTCGAAATCTACAAAACCCCATACAGCTGAACTCGAGAATAAAATTAAACAAGAGATAAATAAATACCTTTAAATGCCACTTTCATTTTTTAATAAAAAAATTAAACTGTATTCCAAAAGAATGGAGGCATGAGATCAATTTCAGATTGCAATTCAAGATAAACTCATTTTTATTAATTTGCTCAATTTGCTGTTGAGGAATTAAAAATTCAATCAAACTCTTACATTTAAACAATTTAAAAAATTCAACTTTTATAGTTTTGTAATTCACTTGTCTTTGTGTCCAAATAGTTGAAATGAATAAATCAGAGGCAAGCAGCAGCAATTAAACACCAGCAAAGCTCAATAGTTAAACAGCAGCAGACAGCTGCAGCAGCAGCAGTAGTAGCAGCACCAGTAGCAGCATCAGCAGCAGTAGTAGTAGTAGTAGTAGCAGCAGCAGCAGTAGTAGCAGCAGCAGTAGCAGCAGGAGCAGCAGTAGCAGTAGCAGCAACTGTGTAAAACGAATTCCGGAAGGGCCGACTCAATAGGCTGCTGCAGCAGCAAGTCCGATCTAATACATAAATAATACAAGGCAAGATCTAGGGTTTAGGGTTTAGGGTTTAGGGTTTAGGGTTTAGGGTTTGTTCTTTGCATTATCCAAAGTGAACAAGAAGAAATCAAAAAAAAAATTAAAACGAATTCAAATAAATCCATTCTTGCTGCAAACAAACCAGCACATTTGCTTTCTAATTAATGCTAAACCTAAACCCTAAACCATAAACCCTCAACCCTAAACTCTAAACGCTAAACCCTAAACCCTAATGCTAAACCCTTATGTTAGCAAACGGATGGCATCTTTATAGGATAAATATGAAATGCATCTGAAGTTGTTTGGTTTTCCATTTCGCACTTTGAGTGCAAACCCTAACCCGTAAACCCTAAACCCTAAACCCTAAACCCCGAACCCTAAACCCTAGCCTCCTAGCCCCTGTAACAGCTCTGCGTGTGTTTCCGAATTCATTCTTTGGCACTTCTTTGATTTTGCAATTCAAATCATTTATAATTTCAATTTATTTCAAATATCTTTTATTTTATTTATTTTAAAAGAAGTTAAAACCCCGCTGCGGCCGCTGGCTGCCGACTTTGGCGAACTTGAATTTCAAGTGTCTGCACGAGTTGAACTCAGAACTTGAACGAAGAGGGGAAACTGCGCATTTCTGGGGCTAAAAAGGCCGAAAGAGACAAAAATAAATGAATAAATTGAATAAAAGTGCAGATAAATGGAGAATTCGAGGAAGATATTCACAAAATCGAGATCTTTTCCTCGGAGTTTCTTCGGATGAGGCGTTGCTGTTTCCAAAACGAACACAGCAACTCGCGGGCACTGCGGAGCCGATTCGGCGCCAAAATTAACGCTTTTTAGCGTCATCTGCGTCAAATTGAACGGCGAAACCGAATTAATTACAAAAACTAAATTAATTTGCGCCTTTAAGTGTTAAAAACGGGCCAAGAGGCGCAAAAAGAGGGGAGCAGCCGTCCCTGTGCTCCGACAGCCCCAGCTGTACAGACAGCATGCGGCGCTGGCAGTGCGTGTGCCGGTTTAAAATTAAATTAAATTATTTATTTTAATAAATTTGATAAATTTAATTTGTGGATTCTTTGTTTTCACCCGAGCTTCGCGCGGAACCACCTCCAACCCCGCGGCCCCCGCTGTCTTTGATCGGATCGGACTTGTTCGGGGCTCTTTTTCTCTTCTTTTTCTCTCCTTTTGAATTCTTCTTTTCCAAAATTAATTTTATTTTACTTTAAGAACTTCAAACTCTCCGGGACGCCCCTTGTTGCTGCTTTTCTCCCGAGGCCACGGACCCCCCAGCGCCAAAATGCCTGCAGACTGCAAAGAAAATGCAGCAGCAGCAGACGCAGCAGCAGATCCGCAGCAGCAGCAGCAGCAACAGCAGCAGCAACAGCAGCAGCAGCAGCAGCAAAAAACCCAGACAGCTCGCCCAATGCCGGAGGGGATGCCCTCAGCGGCAGCTTTGACTCGAGCCATGAGAGGTAAATAAATTAATTTTAAAAGAATTTCTTTTTTTCCCTTTAAAATCTTCTAAAGCACTTTTCTCTCAACTCCAGTCTTCACTTTTCTTCACTTTGTTTCCCTCGCCAGCCCGCAGCAAATAGCCCAGCAGCAGCAGCAGCAGCAGCAGCAACAGCAGCAGCAGCAGCAACTAAAATCATTTGCTTCAGCGCCTCGAGGCGTTTTTGCTGCTACTCGATTTCTGTTTTTATAATTTCTTTAATTCTTTTTATTTTTTAATTTGGAATTTAATTCCATTTGCTTTCCACTCTTTTGCTGCTGCTCATTTCCTTAATTCTTTTTGCTGCTGCTCCTGCTTCCCTTTTTGCTGCTGCTGCTTCGTTTTTTGCGGCAGTTGATTCCCCTCTTGCTGCTGCTGCTTTGCCTTTTGCTGCTGCTGCTTCGCCTTTTGCTGCTGCTGATTCCCCTCTTGCTGCTGCTGTTTCTTTTGCTGCTGCTGATTCCCCTCTTGCTAATGCTGTTTCTTTTGCTGCTGCTGCTTCTTCTCTTGCTGCCGCTGCTGCTTTTGCGTTTGCTGCTGCTGCTCCCCCTCTTGCTGCTGCTGCTTTTCCTTTTGTTGCTGCTGCTTCTCCTCTTGCTGCTGCTGCTGCTTTTCCTTTTGCTGCCGCTGCTCCCCCTCTTGCTGCTGCTCCTTCCCTTCTTGCTGCTTCTGCTTCCCTTTTTGCTGTTGTTGCTTTCCGTCTTGCTGCTGGTGTTCCTTCTTTTGCTGCTGCTGCTTCCGCTCTTGCTGCTGCTGCTGTCCCTGCTGCTCCTTCCGCTCTTGCTGCTGCTGCTTCCTCTTTTGCTGCTGCTGCTCCCCGTTTTCCTGCTGCTGCCTCACCTTTTGCTGCTGCTGCTCCTTTTTTTGCTGCTGCTGCCTCGCCTTTTGCTGCTGCTGCGTCCCGTTTGCTGCTGCTGCTGCTGCTGCACTTCGCGTTTTTGCTGCAGCGCAGCCTCCACTCCCCTTCAAGTTGCAAAAAAATGATTATCATTTATTATTAATTAATTAATTAATTTATTTATTTATTTATTTATTTAATTCAGGATTGTCTGTGGCCCCCCACCTGTTCTGGGACACACAGCCAGTGGTGAAGGCAGCGGAGCGGGCGGCGCTGGCCCCACAGGTGCAGCAAAGTGGAAATGAATTTAAATTCTTTTTTCGATTTTGGAATTAAAAGAGAATAAATGAATAATTAATTTAAATCAAGCAATTTGGGAAATCCAGCGGAGACGAAGATGCAGCAAATCCGGCAAAAAGATCTTCGGAATTCACTTTACCGCAGCAAAATAACTCCCAGCAGCAAAACGCTATTTGCTGCTGCAGCAAAACAAATTCCGTTTTCTGCTCCCCTTTGTCCCTTTATCCCGCCTTATCTTCCTAATGCAGCAGCAGCAGCAGCAGAAACGGAAGCAGCTGCAGCAGCAACAGCAGCAGTAACAGCAGCAGGAGCAGCAGCAACAGCAGCAGCAGCAGCAACAGCAGCAGCAACAGCAGCAGCAGCAGCAGCAGCAGCAGTGCGTTTGTTTTTTTCTTTTCAGGATGAGGGCCCTATTGACGCTCCGAAAACAGTAGATGATGTTAGAAAGGTAAAATGCAACTATTTTTATTCATTTGCTGCTGCTGCTGTTGCTGCTGCTGCTGCTGCTGTTCGTGTTAGTGCTGCAACTTTCGTTTATTCTACTGCCGCATCTGTTGCTGCTGCTTCTGTTGTTGCTGTTGCTATTGCTGCTGCTGCACTTGCTATTGCTCTTGCTGATGCTGCTGCTGCTGTTGTTGCTATTGCTTTTGCTGCTGTTGCTGCTGCTGCTGCTGCTGCAGGAGCCTTACAATTTGCCAAGTGGTTTTATTTGGTCTGAATGTTCGGTGGAAGACCCGCAGGTCTTGGACGAGGTGACATTAGGGTTTAGGGTTTAGGGTTTAGGGTTTATCGCGGATTTATGCTACTGCTGCTGCTATTGCTGCTGCCCCTGCTACTGTTTTTGCTGCTGCTGCTTTCGCTGCTGTTTTCTTCGACTGCTTTCACTACTACTGCATCTGCTGCTGCTTGCTGCTGCATCTCCTGTTGCTTCGTGCTGCTGCTGCTGCTGCTGCTGCTCCCCCTCCTCCTGCTGCTGCTTTCGCTGCTGCTGCTGCTGCTGCCCTGGCTGCCGCACGAGAACTACGTGGAAGCCGAAGGCCATTCTTGCTGCGCCGCCCCTGCCGCCGCCGCCGCCGCCGCTGCCGCTGCCGCTGCCGCTGCTGCTGCTGCTGCTGCTGCTGCTACTGCTGCTGCTGCTGCAGGTGTACTGGCTGCTGAGCGAACACTACGTGGAAGACGAAGACAATTTGTTTCGTTTTAATTACAGCCGGGAGTTTTTGTTTTGGGCTTTGACTCCCCCGGGGGCCTTTAGGGAGTGGATTGTGGGCGTGCGCGTAGCAGCAAACAACAAAGTAACTTTTTTTGCTTCTTTTTGCTTCTTTTTGTCTCTTTTTTGTCTCTTTTTGTTCCTTTTTCCCTTCTAAATGCACTCTTTTCTCTTCCCTTTTTTAAATCCCCTTTTTGGGGTTTTAAAACACTTTTTGGCGCTCTTTTGCTGCTGCTCGAGGTGCAGCAAAGGGCGAAATGGTCTTTTTGGAATTCTTTTGATTCTTTCTCTTCACTTTTATTCATTTTTATTTATTTATGTTTATTTCCATTTATTTATTTATTTTATTTCTTAGAAATTGCTTTTTCTGCTTTGTTTCTTTTATCTTTTTTCGGAACTTTTAAGTTTCCTTTTCGCATTCTTAGAACACTTTTGGGTCTTTTGATTTGGCCATTTTAATCTTTTTTTATTTTTGAAATTTTGAATTAGCAAATAAATAAAGTGGCAAACACGTTAAATAAACAGAAAGGAATATCAAAAATGGTCTTTCTGTGCTGCTGCTGCTGCTTCTGCTTCTGCTGCTGCTGCTGCTGCTGCTGCTGCTGCTGCTGCTGCTGCAGCTTGTGGGGCTAATTACGGCGAGCCCTGCTGCAGTGAGCTGCAGCAGCAAAACGCTGCAGCTGGCGGAGGTGAATTTTCTGTGTGTGCACAAGAAGCTGCGAAGCAAAAGACTGGCTCCTGTGAGGAACTTGTCGGTTTTTGGAGTTTTTTTGAAATCCTTTTGGATTTTTGTCTTTTCTTTTTCAATTTAAGGACCTTTTGGCCCTTCATTCATCTTTTAAAAACAACAAACTCCAAAACTCGCTCAAAATTCTCTTTTTTGGCCTTTTCGCTTTTTCGAAAGTGCGACTTTTCGCATCCTGCGGTGTATGTACAGGTGCTTATCAAGGAAATCACTCGGCGGGTAAATCTCAAGGGCATTTGGCAGGCCGTCTATACAGCAGGTAATTAATTGATTGATTAATTAATTAATTAATTAATTGATTGATTAATTAATTAATTAATTAATTGTTTGATTAATTAATTACCGTATTAATTAATTGATTAATTAATTTAATTAATTAATTGATTAATTAATTTAATTAATTATTTGATTGATTGATTAATTATTTTAATTAATTGATTAATTAATTAATTAACTAGTTGATTAATTAATTAAATTAATTAATTAATTAATTAATTAGTTGATTAGTGCTGCTGCTGCATTTTGTCTTTCTTGCGAATCCAAAATTAAAACAAAATTATTTAATTTAAATCCATTTAATAAATCTTATTTAATTAAAATTAATTTAAATCGACTTCAATTAATTTAAATTAATTGGAATTAATTTTAATTATTTTTAATTAATTTTAATTATTCAGTCGAGATCTTTTGGCCATCTGGAAATGCAAGGACTACAAATCAATCAATTAAGTAATTCATTCAGATTAATTAATTAAACTAAGATGAATTAAGTTAAAATGAATTAAATGGATCAAATTGAATTAAATAAATTGGAATGAATTAAATTAATTGAAACGAATTAAAAGTAAGTAAAAAAGTATTTTATCGAATTAAATGAATTAGATGAATTGAATGAATTAAATGAATTAAATGAATAATCAAATTTATTTCTGAACCTCTTTGCACCACAGAAAGTCTTCTTTGAATTTTTATTTTCCGCTCATTTTTAATCTTTTTTCTCCGTTTTAAGTTCCAGCAAATTCATTTATTGAATTCTTTCACCTATTTTAAACTATTTTAAACCATTTAAACCATTTTACATCATTTTAAGCCATTTTAAACCATTTTAAATCATTTTAAATCACTTCAAAGTGTTTTAAATTGTTTTTTATTTGCAGGAGTTGTGCTGCCGACGCCAGTGGCGGAGTGCCGTTATTGGCACAGATCTTTAAATCCCAAAAAGTTAATTGAAGTTGGATTTAGCGGACTTGGAAAAAGAATGACAATTAGCCGGAGTATTAAGCTTTATAGGGTCAGAACACTTCATGTATTTCTTTTTATTTCATTTTGTTTCATTTATTTTCTTAATTTTATTTATTTTGTTCTTTTATTTGATCAATTTGTTCCATTTTGATGTATTTTTGCGTTTTAATGATTTAGTGGACTTGGAAAAAGAATGACAATTGGCCGCAGCATCAAGCTTTATGGGGTCCGATTGCTTCATTTATTTCATTTTATTTCATTTTATTTCATTTTATTTCACTTTATTTCATTAATTTTATTTAATTTTATTTATTTTGTTCTTTTATTTGATCGATTTGCTTCATTTTGATGTATTAATTTCGAAATACTTTTTAAGTTCAATTTAAAAAGTATTTCGAAATCAAAGTCTTTTGGCTTTTAATTGAATTCAATTAAATGGCCCTTTAACAAATCTTTTGCAATTCAAAAATCTCAAATTAAATCTCAAATTAATTTCCAAATTTAATTTCAATTTTAATTCCAAATTAAATTTGAAGTTTAATTTGAAATTAAATTCCAAGTTAAATTCCAAATTAAATTTGAAATTAAACTTGAAGTTAAATTTGAAATTAAACTTGAAATTAAATTTGAAATTAAACCTGAAGTTAAATTAAATTTGAAATTAAATTTGAAGTTAAATTAAATTTGAAATTAAAATAAATTAAAATTAAATTAAATTTGAAATTCAATTTGAGGTGTACGTACAGGTGGCGGAGTCGCCGGCGATCGAAGGGCTGAGGGAAATGAAGGCCGGAGACGTTTCGAAAGTTCAAAAGTTGTTGATGAATTATTTGGAGTAAATAAATAATAAATAACAAATAATAAATAAATAAATTAATTAATTAATTAATTAATGTTGGGTTCAATTTGGTTCATTTGGTCTGTTGGTTTGGGCGGTGAAGTTCCGAATTTCAGAAACAACTCCCACGTGATTTATTTGTTTATTTATTTATTCACTTATTTATTTATTTACCTTTTTATTTATTTATTTATTTATTTATTTATTTATTTATTTGTTGGCTGCGGAGGTTGCGGGGTTGGGTTCTGGGGTGTACAGACAGTTCAAACTTCACCCAGTGTTTTCGGAGGAAGAAATTTCTCATTGGTTAGTTCCAAGAGAAGGAGTTGTTCATGTTTATGTTCGGGAAAAAGAAGGTAATTAATCCATTTGAGTCTATTTGCTTCTATTTTAATTGATTTAAATCAATTAAAATCAATTAAAATCAATTAAAACTACTTTAAGTCAAGTTAAATGAGTTTAAATCAATTAAAATCACTTTAAATTGATTAAATAACTGATTTAGTTCCAAGAGAAGGAGTTGTTCATGTTTAGGTTCTTGAAGGAGGTAATTAATACATTTAAATCATTTTAAATCATTTTAAATTGATTTTAAATCCATTTAAATTGATTTAAATCAACTTAAATCAATTTAAATCCATTTAAATTGATTTAAAGTTATTTGAATCAATTTAACTGAGTTTAAATTAATTCAAGTCCATTCAAATCCATTTAAATCCATTTAAATTTATTAAAATAAATTTAAATAAATTTAAATAAATTTAAATTTGAATCAATTCAATTATCACTGAAAATCAATTTAATCATTCATTAAAATGTATTAAAAAGAATTGAAAGTAAATTTTTAAAAATTCAAAATAAATTTAAAAATAAATCAAAAATGGATTAAAATAAATTCAAATAAATTGAAATGAACTAATATAAGAATTAAACCAAATTAAAACAAACTAAGACTACAACAAACTAAAACAAATTAAAATAAATTAAAATAAACTAAAATAAATAAACAAACAAACAAATAAATAAATAAATAAATAAATAAATAGAATGAGTTAATTGTTGCAGGAGAAGTGACGGATTTAATTTCTTTTTACGAATTGCCTTCTTCTGTAATTGGACACAGAAAACACAAAGAAGTCAAAGTGAGATTATTTATTTATTTATTTATCTATTTATTTATTTATTTATTTATTTATTTATTAAAAAATAAATAAACTAACTAACTAATTAATTAATTAATTTATTTATTTATCTATCATTTATTTATTTATTAGTTTATTTGTTTCTTTATTTGTTTGTTTGAATTCGTTTTATTTGTTTATTTGTTTATTTGTTTGTTTATTTATTCACTTGTTTTATTTGCTTCTTTCAAGTTATTTTACTTATTTATTTATTTGTTTATTTATTTCAAATAGTTAATTTGTTTGTTTCAATCTACTTTGATTATTTATTTGTCTTAATTCATTTTATTTACTTATTTTAGTCTATTTTTGTTTGTTAGCGTATTTGTTTTGTTTTAACTGTTTTATTTATTTTTATTGTTTGTTGTTTAATTGTTTGTTTAGTCGTTTATTTATTTGTTTATTTATTTGTTTATTTATTTGTTTTAATTACCTATTTATTTCTGTACTTATATATTCATTAATTAGTTAATTAATTGCTCATTCTTTTATTTTTAGTGAAATTTGTTTGTAATTTATTTATTTATTTATTTATTTATTTACAAACAAATTAATCAATCAACTATCCAATTCAATTAATCATTCTACTTAATAGTGTATTTATTTATCCATTTATTCATTTCTCCATTTAGTTATTTATTTATTTATTTATTTATTTATTTATTATTATTTACCATTTATTTATTATTTATTTGTTTTTAAAGGCTGCTTATTCTTTTTACAACGTGGCCACTTCGGTGCCGCTGAAAGAACTTATGCAAGACGCCCTTTGCCTCGCCAAACAAAAGTTAGTTTAATTAAATTAATTAATTAAATGTAATTTAATTTAATTTAGTTTAACTAATTTAATTTAATTTAATTAAATATATTAATTAGAAGTATAATTTAAATGAATAAAGGGGAATTTAAGAAAGGGGAATTGATGAAAGTCAAAGTGGAAAGGGAGAAGAATTTTAAAATTAAGAAAAGAAAAAAAGAAATTGATGAGAAAAGATACAGAAAGCAATAAATAAACAAAGTTAATAAAATTATTAATTGATTGAATTAAATTAAATAATTAAATAATTAAATAAATAAATAATAAAATAAATAAATAAAATAATAAAATTGAATAAGTAAAGAGGAGGAAGCTGCTACAAAAGGGGCCTTTTTTGAAGACTTATTTTTTCGCTTTATTCCATTCTGTTTATTTTCAAGTCTTCATTTCTTTTCATTTATTTATTTATTGTCTTTTTTGCTATTAATTAATTAATTAATCTATTTGTTTCGTTATTTATTTATTTATTTATTTGTTCAATTTATCATTAATTAATTAATTAATTCATTTATTTATTTACTTTAATATTTATTTATGTATTTATTTATTTTTTGCTGCAGAGACTTCGACGTATTTAACGCGTTGGATGTAATGGAAAATAAAACCTTCGTGGAGGCAAGTCATTTATTTATCTATTTACTTATTTATTTTTATTTATTTTTATATGTTTTTATTTATCTATTTGTTTATCTTATTTGTTTATTTCCTTTCTTTATTTCTTTTATTTTTTCCTTTGTTTTATTTCTTTATTTCCTATATTTGCTTGTTTGCCAGTTACTGCCACTAAAGCCCCTTCGCCAAAGAGCTAGGGTTTAGGGTTTAGGGTTAAGGGTTTGGGCGACTGCGTAGCCACAGCAATCCTGTTGGCTTGGGGTTTAGGGTTTAGGGAGGTTTTAGCGTGGGTCTGAAGGCGAATTGGCTCTCTTGGGGTTTAGGGTTTAGGGTTTGGGGTTTAGGGTTTGGGGTTTAGGGTTTAGGGTTTAGGGTTTGGGGTTTTCAGGAATTGAAGTTTGGAGTTGGCGACGGGTTTCTGCGGTATTACCTTTACAACTGGCGCTGCTCTCCGGTGATTGAATAAGAGATTTAAAATCAGTTTAGTTTAATTTAATTTAATTATTTAATTCAATTTAATTATTTAATTCGATTTAATTATTTAATTCAATTTAATTTAATTTAAATTATTTATTTAATTTGCAATTAATTGGTGGCGGTGCGACAATTAGAAATGAATTAAATTGGCTTAATTTTGAATTATTAAAAAGGTCAAATAAATAGAATGAATTTATTTTTATTTAATTGGATTAATTAAATGTTTTGATGAAGTTAATTTAATTCAATTAATGTATTTGAAATGGTTTGCTGCTGCAGTTGCTGCACAAAGATATTGGCTTGGTGCTCCTCTAAACCCTAAAATAGGGTTTAGGGTTTACGGCCTAGGGTTTGCTTCGCATCTTGTCGCCGCGCTGCTGAAGCAGCAGCGCTGCTGCAGCAGCAGCGCTGCTGCACATCTGCAGCAGAAGCAAGGCTGCTGCTGCGGCAGCAAAAGCAGCAGCAACAGCAGCAAAGCAGCAGCTGCAGCAGCAACAGCGACGAAGCAGCAGCTGCAGCAGCAGCAGCTGCAGCAGCAACAGCAGCAGCACAAAGCAGCTGCAGCACCGCAGAACAGCGGAGGCGCCTTTGCTGCAGCAGCAACAAGGACTGGCGTGTCTATTTGTTTACTACTCTTATTATCATTTATTTATTTTATTTTATTTATTTATTTATTTGTTTAGATTTATTGTCTCAGTTTTGCGTCCACAAACAGAAATCCACATTTCCTGGAGTCGAGAGGTTGCAGCAGCAGCAGCAGCGCTATCTGCTGCTGCTGTTGCTGCTGCAACTGCTGCAGGTGCTGCTGCTGCAGCATGAACTCAGTTGCAGCTAAAACGCAGCTGCAGCTGCAAAAAAGAATTGGGGAACAAAAAACAAAAGAGCAGCCAAGCCCCTAAACCCTAAACCCTAAACCCTCCTTATTCCGAGAAAAAGGAGATTCGAAGGGAGCTGCTTGCTGCAGCGCATCTGATGCAGCAACTACTGCAGCAAATACTGCAGCTCGTGCAGCAAATGCTGCAGCAAGTGCTGCAGCAAGTGCAAGTTCTGCAGCAAGTGCTGCAGCAAGTGCCAGTGCTACAGCGAGTGCTGCAGCAAGTGCTGCAGCAAGTGCTGCAGCAAGTGCCAGTGCTACAGCGAGTGCTGCAGCAAGTGCTGCAGCAAGTGCTGCAGCAAGTGCTGCAGCAAGTGCCAGTGCTGCAGCAAGTGCTGCAGCAAGTGCTGCAGCAAGTGCTGCAGCAAGTACTGCAGCAAGTGCTGCAGCAGCACTTGCTGCAGCGTCAGAGGGCGAAGAGGATGGCGCTGAGTTCCTGGCGGCCGCGGTGTCTGTACACTTCGGGGCCGTAGCCTGCTGCTGCTGCTGCTCTTTCGAAATCATTTATATTTAAATATTTTCTCCGGGGAATGTTTTGGTCTTCTCTTATTGCAGCATCTAGCGGCCTCGCTCCGTCGCTGCCTGCTGCTGCTGCTGCTGCCACCTGCGCTGCTGCTGCAGCAGACTGAAACAACGAAGAGTACTGCCGCTCCAACGCCTGCGCACAAACATACCTGCTGCTGCTGCTGCTGCTGCTGCTAGGGAGGAAGAACACAGCTAACTGCTCGCTTTGCTTCCAAACTGCAGCGAAGCGAACTCCTGCTGCTGCTACTGTTGCTGCTGCTGCTGCTGCTACTCCTGCTGCTGCTGCTGTTGCTGCTGCTGCTGCTGTTGCTGCTGCTGCTGCTGGGACGCACATGTACGTAGGACTCGTCGCTGGACTTGAGGTTTCTGCCCAGCGGCTTCAACTTGACGATTTCGTAGAAGTTTCCTTCCTTCTTGACAATCTCTTTGATCTTCCGAACCCGCAGTGCTGCTCTTGCTTCGGAGTTTTGCTGCTGCTGCTGCTGCTGCTTCTGCTGCACGTGCTGCGGCTGCGCCCGCCCGTGGCCCTCCAACTCCCGAAGACGGTTCTCAAGCCGCCGCTTCAGCTGCTCATCCGTGCCATATACCAGTTCATAAACTGCAGCAGCATCAGCAGCAGCAGCAGCAGCAGCAGCTAAGCAGCTGCATGACCGCAGGCAGGTCTGCTTTCGGGAACAAGTAAGCAAAAGCTGCAGCATTAAATGGAAGCAAGAAGGCATTTAGAGGGATCTGGAGTTGAAATGAACGCACTGGCTTCTTCCTTTTCCTCCAAATAGTCATTGTAAGCCGGAGTGTTCTCGAAGTTGTCGCGGAGTGCATTCAGCCTGCGTCAGGTGTACGTACACCGCAGCTGCGATGGCGCCAGTGCGCGCTCACTTTTGTTATTTTGCAAAACGGCCGACGCTGGCCGAGGGGAAATCTGGTGGAAAGCGGCAATTAAAGGGCAAATTAAAAAGCAATTTCTTTAATTTTGCCTTTTTTGGCACTTACGCGTCGTTGACGCGCTTTCTAACCTCCTTTTCCACCGCGAAAAGGTCCAGATCCGGCTCCGTGAGGACGTAGTTGGCCCGCGTGAGGGCCCGCTGACACACTGGGCAGTTCCCCTTCGCTGTCGGCAAAATTGCCCCAATGCCGCCGCCAAATTGCTGCTGGAGGCAGTTTTCGCAGATTCTGTGGGAGCAGACGTCAGAGCTGTACAGCTTTCTGTCGGGGCTGTAGCAGCAGTTTTCAGAACAGACGGAACACTCGTACTGGTCCATCTTGGGGCTCGACTGCGCGACAATTCATTTCTAAAAACTCAAAAATCCCAAAAAAGACCCGGGAAATGCTCCAAACAGTTCCCGGGAGCTCGTTCTGCTGCGTTCTGCCATGCGCAGATCGATGTTGCTGCGCTACTGCAGTTCCTGCAGGAATTGCTGCAGCCAACGCTGCCCGCGTTCTTCCCTACTTCTTGAAATCGTTAAGCCTCATCTTCTTTCATCCTCTTTTATCTTCTTTCATCTTCTCTGCAAAACAACAGAGCCGAGACAAACTGCAGAGGCTTCACCAAAGACATGCAGCCCCCCAGCCAAGCGCCTCTCAGTCTTCCAGCAGCAACTGCAGCACACAGAGGCTCTCCTGGGAGTGCCGACAGACATTTATTGAACGAAAAAGCCGCAAAACTAGCCAACTTTAGCGGGAAATGCAGCATTTAGCGGCCCTTGGGCTGCATTTATCTGAAATGGATTTCAAGTTCGGCTTGAAACGCAGCGCTCGCACTGCTGAGTGGCTTCCCAGGGCTCGAAATAAGGCTTTATTAGTCGAAGTTCTGTTGTATGCAAAAGCGGAATAATTAAAAATAAAAATGAAATTGAATGTCCACTCGAGGCAGAGCTGGAGCCGCTGATGGTGGCCGAGGTGCAAATTGCAAAAGTCGACACAGAGTCAAGAGGAACAGAAGGCTCGTTGCGCCGCCTCCGCTGCACTTCTAAAGAGTCCATTTATTATATATATATAATATTATATATATTATACTATAAAAGTAAAGGCAAAAAACTGCAGAGTTGAATACAATTCATGCGCCGTGGAGGCAGCTGCAGCAGCACCTGCAGCAACTTGAACGAAACCCCGTAAGCCCAGCAGCAGATCCTCCAGCGGAGCTCTTCAGCAAAAAATTAAACCCTTTTAGTGCCCTTCGCTTTCTTTTTGTCCTTTGAAGCCTCCAGATCTCATTTTCAGTCTCGGATTTAGGGTTTAGGGTTTAGGGTTTAGGGTTTGTTGCGGCTAGGCCAGGTGTCTATTGTTCCGCATGATGTGTTGCTTCTACTGCTTTCCACTTCGGGTCTCGGGTATGGGCACTGCTGCAGCAGCAGCAACAAAGCGCTGCTGCTGCAGCATGCTCCTGCTGCTGCTGCAGCAGACCCTGCTGCTGCTTGAAACTCCTGCTGCTGCAGCAGCAGCAGCAACAGCTTTAGTAGCTCAGAGAAACACCGTCAGTGCTGATAGTAGCAGCACTGGGGCTGCTGTCGAAGGCAGTTGGTGGTGTTCCTGTTGTGCTTCCTGAGGACGGCGACAGCAACACTTCTCTCTTTTGCTGCTGCTGCTGCTGCTGCTGCTCTGCAAGGGTAAAGGCAGAGGCAGCAGCAGCAGATGCTGCAGCAAAACCCGGCAACTCGTCCACTTCTTCTGCTGCTGCTGTTGCTGCTGCGCTCTCTGCCCAGCTCACCCGCTTGGGCGTGCGAGAGCCCCCCCGGCGGCCAGCAACGCAGGGCACCAGCTTCTGCTGCTGCTTTGGCTGCTGCTGCTTTGGCTGCTGCTGCTGCTGCGGCTGCTGCGACTGCTGTTGCTGCGGCTGCTGCGACTGCTGCGGCTCTGGCTGCTGCTGCTGGTCTTCTGCCGCAGAAAAGCTGATTTGGTACGCGGCTGATTGATCCTTTGGCGCTGCTTCTTCTGCAGCGGCTGATGCAGCAGCAGAAGCAGCAGCAGCAGCAGCTCGGCGCGTAGCCCCCGGGCGAATGGTCACCAGCAGCGGGTCGGGGGGCCCCGCAAATATGCCCGGGGGAGCAGCAGAGACATTATATGAGAAGGGGCGGACACGGGGGGCCTTGAGCTGCTGCCGCTGCAGCAGCAGCTGCTGTTGCTGCTGCTGCCACAGTTGCTGCTGCTGCGCCTCTAAAAGCTCCTGCTGGTACTTGAGCAGCTTCTGCTGCTCCTGTAGTTGCTGCTGCAGCGTTTCAGTCGACATGAGAAGCTGCTGGTTTCCCTTCTGCTGCTGCTGCGGCACCTCTTTTTGAATTTCATGCGGAAGCTGGCAAGCCTGCTGTTGCTGCTGCTGCTGCGGCTGCTGCTGCGGTAGTAAGGGAAACGCAGAACACAGAGGCTGAGTCAATCCTTCCTGCAACTGCGGCTGCTGCAGCTCCTGCTGCGGCTGCTGCGGGAACAGCAGCTGCGGCTGCTGCTGCTGCTGCTGCTTCGGCGGGGGCAGCAGCAGCTGCGGTGGCAACAGCTGCGGAGGCGGCGGAACCAGCAGCTGCTGCTGCGGCGACAGCTGATACTGCTGCTGCTGCGGCGGCAGCAGCAGCTGCTGCGGTGACAGCTGATGCTGCTGCGGGGGGACCAGCAGGTGCTGCTGCTGCGGCAGCTGATGCTGCGGAGGAGGAACCAGCAGCTGCTGCTGCGGCGGCAGCAGCTGCTGCTGTGGGGGAAACAAAAGCTGCTGCTGCTGCGGCAGCAGCTGCTGCTGTTGCGGGGGCAGCTGCTGCTGCGGTGGCAGAGGAAACTCCCATGGTAAAGGAGCAGCAGCAACGAAGCTGTCTGCCTCAATCGGTACTGCTGTCAATAGAAGCTGCTCGTCCTGCTGCTGCTGCTGCTGCTGCTCCTGCTGGCCAGACTCAAGAGCTGCCTCTAGCGGAGTGTCAGAAAAGCTTTGCTGTTGCTGCTGCAGTTGTTGCTGCTGCTGTTGCTGCTGCTGGAATGATGGCGTAGAAGAAGCGGGTCTCCTTTCCGCTTCAGCAGGGCAGCAGTGGCCCAGTGGTAGAGGCGGCACCTGCTGTTGCTGCTGCTGCTGCTGCTGCTGCTGCTGCTGCAGCTCCTGCTGCTTCTGTGCTAGGACCTTGGGGCTCACTTGGGGAGGAGAAAAAGGAGACTGCACAGAAGCTGTTGTGCTGGCAGCAGGGCTTTCTGAAAGCCAGGCCCTAGCCTCCTTGCTTTGCTGCTGCTGCTGCTGCTGCTGCTGGTGCTCCGCTTCGCAGGAGTCGATCTCTTCCACGAAGCCGGGCGTATGTTGGTGTACGTCCTGAGGCGGCTCTGCTGCAGCGTTCGGGCAGCAGCCGCTGCTGCTGCTGCTGCTGTTTGCGTTCGCGCTGCTGCTGCTGCTGCTGCCGTTGTTGCTGCAGAAGCTCCACTGCTGCTGCAGCTCGTCCACCGTGCACTCCTCGCTGCTGCGGAAGACTGTGCTGCTGCTACTGCTGCCTGCTTCTGGCTGCGCAGTGATGGTGGTGGTAATGGTGGTGATCTGGGTCGTTCTTCTTTCGACCACCAGAACCTCTTCTGCTGCTGCAGCGCAGCGGGGGCTGCTGCTGCTGCTGCTGCTGCTGCCAGTTGCTGTTGCGCCCGCGCCGTCTGCTGCGCCGGCTCTGCCGCAGCCGCAGTCTTCCGATTCAGGCCAGCTGTCTCTGCTGCTGCTACTGCTGCTGCTGCTGCTCTGCGGCTCCTCAGCAGCAAACGAATGCTGCTGAGGGGGACAAGGAGGACGCTGCTGCCTTCTGCTGCTGCTGCTGCTGCAGCGCGCCCCCAACAGCGGAGTCGAAGGCGCACGACGTTGCCTGTCTTGCTGTTGCGTGGGTGCTCGGCTGCTGCTTGCTGCAGGCGCTGCAGCAGCAGCAGCAGCAGCAGCCGCTGCTGCTGCTGCACTCGCTCTGTAGCTAGGGGGCTTCACACTGGCGCCTTCATGCGAGCCAGCGCCAGCTGCACCAGCAGCTGCTGCAGCTGCTGCAGCAGCAGCGGCTGCAGCAACGGCCGCTGCAGCAGCAGCTCCAGTTTCTGGTGCATTCCTGCTGCAGCCGCTGCGGGTCGGTTTGCTGCCCTGCATGTGGCGCTGCTGCGCCCTGCCACGCAGTGGGTTGTGCTGCTGCTGCTGCTGCTGCTGTTGCTGCTGCTCTTCCTGCTGCTCCTGTGATCGTTCTACATGTGGCATCTGAGTCTGCTGCTCCTCTGTGGGCCGAAGAGGCTCGCGTTTCTCCTCTTGTGCACACTGCACTGCTGCTGCAGCCGCCGCTGCAGCAGCAGCAGCAGCGGCAGCAGCAGCACACTGCGCCGTCTCTGGCCGCCGCGGTTTTGCTGCTGCAGGAGAAGGCAGCAGCCGTCTAAGGAATTGCTCTACTGAGAGGGATCGGCTTCTTGGGCGTGCAGCGCCAGGTTCTGGCGCTGCTGCTGCTGCTGCTGCTGCTGCTGCTGCGTTGCTGCTGTGGCTGGGGTGGGTGTCAGCCCTTTGGTGGCTTTCTGAAGGTCCGATAAATTTCTTAAAGAGTTCGCCGATGCGGCGAAGGCTGGGCGATCGCCCGCGTGCCCCCCGCCTTCCCTCTTGCTGCTGCTGCTGCTGCTGCTGCTGGTAGTCTTGCTGCTCATGCTTCTGCTGCTCCTGCGCGCGCTCTGCGTTGAGAGTGGTCTGGAGCCGCGTGGCCCACTGCCTTCTTGAGGCAGCTGCGTTTGCAGGTTGCGCCATTGGGGTTGAGGTGTACGTACACCCCAGGCCTAGGGCTGCCTGCAGGCGGTGTCAGTGGCGGGTGTGGGGAGGGGCTGGAGCTGGAGATCTTTGTCTCCTGGCCAAGCTGCTGCTGCTGCTGCTGCTGCTGCTGCTGCGCTTGTGTCCCCGCAGGCGGCGCTGCTGCTGCTGCTGCTGCTGCGCTTGTGTCCCCGCAGGCGGCGCTGCTGCTGCTGCTGCTGCTGCTAGGGCTGAGCTCTTGGAGAGTTGCGCCGCCTACTACACGGAAAGACACAAAAGAACACAAAATAGAGATGTCTACTGCGTTTAAAGCTTAAACAAAATTAAAGGAAGGACAGGAGCAGGTCAAGACAAGCAGTGGTCCACTGGTCCACTCCGGCCGCAGGCGACAGCAGGACGTGACACGGAAAGGGGGTGCCTCGGGGAACCGCCTGTGCAACTTTTAAGAATGAAATAGTTAATTAAAAGCAAATTGCAAAAGCGCAAAAGGGAAAAAGTCAATTTGTGAAGCAGCTTTAGGCGCAGCACGTCAGCAGCAGCAGCAGCGGCTGCTGCCGCCGCGGTGGCTGAGCCGACCAGCGCCGCCGAGGTCCACGGACTCGTGAACACATTTCAGAAAACAATTCAACTAAATATTTAATTAAAAACATTTAATTTAAAGGTGATTGGCACTTCGTTTTGCGCAGAGATCGTCCCACCAAGGAGGCGGTGAACCTGCTGCTGCAGCACAGCAGCACAGGCACGGCTCATTCAAATTGTGGCGATATCACATGACCCCGCCTTTGTCTTGTCGCCAAACAAGAAAATAAACGTTTCTTTTCATTTTAAAATGTCAAATCGCGCCTTTATAAGTACTTTAAATGCGTTTTGAACCCTGCGAGCGCTGCGAGCGGCTCAGGTGCAGCTGCGGAGCGCTGCTGCAGCCTTTCTGGTGAGGCTTCGGCTGATTCAGCTGTTGTTGCTGCATTCTGTGCATTATTCTTTTTTATTTAATTATATTTTTGTGAATTAAATTCAAAAAAACCTCTAAAACGCCGGAGCCAGCCGCTGCGCCCAGCAGACATGCACGGAATTCAACTTCCAGCTGCACGCAACTGGCAGTGCGCTCACCCCCCAGAGGAGCGCTTGCAGTGAAGAAGAAATGCTAATAAACACTGATATCGCCGCATGCAGCGAAACAATTATTATTTTCAACATAAATACTATTTTAAACATGTTATAAAAGTGCTTCAACAGGTCCTACTGGGATTTGAACCCAGGTCGGCGGATTCAGAGTCCGCAGTGCTAACCACTACACCACAGAACCGAGAGCCCCTGCACACACTCCAATCTTCGCTCCAACATATTCAAAAAGAACTGCAGGAAGGCAAAAGATATCAATTTTGAAACAAAAGATAATAAATTTAATTAATTTAATCCTGTTTTTGCTTCATTTGCCCTTTTTAATTCATTTAAGGACAAAACAGAACTTTTTTCCGAAAGGCGTTTCAGCCCGCGCAAGAGGCGACGCTGGGGCAGCAGCAGCGGAAAGCTGCAACTTGAGATTCAAATTTTAAATTAAATGTTTTTAATTTCGCATTTTTGGTTTTGTTTTTAATTTCTTTTGCCACTTTTTCTGGATTTGAAATATTTGAATTGACGCGCCAAGAAGATTCAGCGGCTCCCGGTTCTATGGTGTAGTGGTTAGCACTGCGGACTCTGAATCCGCCGACCTGGGTTCAAATCCCAGTAGGACCTAGGTGTTCTGAATTTTGATAACTCCTTTTAATATTCGTGGCTTTATTGTTCAAATTCTTTGTTATTTTTATTCTTTATTGCTTTATTTCTCTTATTCTTCCTTAATGACTGCAGCTTCATGCCTCAACTCCGGTCCTATATGATCTACTTCTCGTGTTTCGGGTCCCGAAGTGGCAAGCAAGCTGTCTAGACACCCCAGATTCACTCCTTTTTTCCGGCTTCTTTGCTGCCACGTTTCGGTCCAAAAGCTGCAAATTGTTCCTCTTGGGCTCTGAGCAGCAGCAGACACTTAAATGACACAGAACTCTGCAGCAAAAGGCCCTAAAAGCTGCTTCAGAGGCCCTCGAAAAGTGTCTTGGGGCCCCTCAAAAGCAGCTTAAACTTCCTTTTTGGCCCCACAAATCACTCAAAATGCTTCTTTGAATTTTTCTGGGAACATTCTTTAAATAAATTAAAGGCTTTAGGGCTTCTTGCAGCCCCAAAAGTCTTTTCTTGAAATTTCCCTCTACAGGCTAATGTGGCTCACCTTCATTTTCATCCTTTTGCTTTTATTGTCCTCTATATTTGAAGTTCTTAGAACCAACAAAGAAGATCTGAGCCCAGCTAAGGAGCTCCAGTTAGTGGCTAGCTGGCTATCTGCTTAGCTAGCTAGCCAACTAGCTATCTAGCTGGCTATGTAGCTACCGTTCTAGCTAGCTAGCCAACTCGTTATCTAGCTAGCCATCCAGCTAGCTATCTAGCTAACTATCTATCCGTCCAGGCAGCCACACAGCTAGCTACAGACTTAACTACATAGCTAGTTACATAGATAGCTAGCTAGCTAGCTAGCTAGCTGGCTAGCTAGCTAGCTGGCTAGCTGACGTAAACAGGGCCCTTTATCCCGGTTTCAGAAAAGTAAGTTAACTAAGCCTGAGAGCTGAAATGCTCTGCCCAGTGTGAGCTCCCCCAAGGCCTCTAGGGGCCCCCGGGGGCCCCCCAGGGCCCCTCGAGGGGCCCTACGGGACCCTTAGGGGCCCCTACGAGCCCCTAGCGGCCCCCTAATGGCCACCTGGGGGCCCCTAGGGGCCCCCAGGGGGCCCTTAGGGGCCCCCCAGGGTCCACCTGGGTTTATTATTTGGGGAGCTTGAGCCTCTTTTTGCTGCTGCACTGTACGCAGCAGCCCAGCCAAATCCTAAACCCTCAGTGCAAACCCTAAACCCTAAATGAGAGCTGAGCCCTTGTGAACCCCAGGCTTCAAACCCTAATCCCTAGCCAGCGGCTTCGAGTCTGTTTAACTGCTGCAGCTAAGAAGAAGAGCTGCAGCAGCAAGCTCGCTGAAGGCTGTTTGCTGCAGCAGCAAACTGTTTGCTGCAGCAGCAAACAAAGCAGCAGGTCAGCCGGCAGCTGCCCCAAGTAGCTGCTGCAGCACGCTGCAGCAGCAGGCCTCTGGGCCGGCAGGCTGTGGGGCGCAGCGCAGCAGCTGCAGCAAACTGATTTAGGCAGCAGCAAAAGTGCTGCTTGCTGCAGTGGGCAGTAGCAGATTTTATTTTTATTTTTAAAAATAAATTTTATTTTTATAAAAGACAAATTAATTTTAAAATAAAAATATTGAATATGAGCCTAAGGCCTCGCGGGCTTCCAACTAATCCTTAAACCCTAAAGAGCCCCTTTAGATAGGGCCCTTGATGTCCAGATTTCGCAAACCCTAAACCCTAAACTCTAAACTCTAAACTCTAAACCCTAAACTCTAAACTCTAAACTCTAAACCCTAAACTCTAAACCCTAAACCTTCAACCCTCAACCCTAGGTTTCAAGCATTAAGCCTTTAGGGGCCGCCCACGACCCTCTGGGGGCCCCTCAAGACCCTCCAGGGGCCCCTCAGGACCCTTTGGGGGCCCCTCAGGACCTTTGGGGGCCCCTAAGGACCTTTGGGGACCCCTCAGGACACTTCGGGGGCCCCTCAGGACCCTTTGGGGGCCCCTCAAAATCCTCTGGGGGCCCCTCAGAACCCTCTGGGGCCCCTCAAAACCCTCTGGGAAACCTTTCGGTGCTTGCAGGGGCTCAGCAGCAGAGAGGCAGCAGGCCTGAGGAAAGCCGTGGAGCTGTTTCTTTAGGAGCTGAGTGCTGCAGCAGTTACAATTTATGATATTTAAGAGGTTGTTGATAAGATTTAAGAGGTTTTTGTGGGCCCTATGCACCAGATCAGCGTATCAGCTGCTCGAGCAGCAGCAGCTGCTGCAGCAGCAGCAGCAGCAGCTGCTGCAGCAGCCTGAGTAGCAGCCGAGGCCCCCAGACCGAACTCAGTGGAATCTGGAGTTTTCCTTGCTCAAGAGGAGAATTTGTTTATCTGGATTTCCCAATTATTTATTTATTTATTCATTATTATATTTTTAATTAGGTTTTGAAGTGCAATTAAACTCGAAAAGAAGCCAAGGTAGCAACGCCGCCCCCCCAAGTCGGCAGCGGTCGTTGACTCGTGGCACTGGGGCTCCTCGTTCGGCTGTAGTGACAGGGAAGCTCTCACTTTGAGTTGTTTCAAATAAATTTAGCCAAATTATTTTTTAATTTTTAGTAGTTAATGCAGACAGAGCTCAGAAAGAGCTGCACAACACTGCAGCAGCAGCAGCCGCTGCAGCAGCTTCCGCAGCCGACCGCTGCTTGACGCGCTGCTGCAGCAGCGCCTCCTGCTGATAAAAAAAGCAGCAGCGTTCCTTGCCCAAAAAACTTAGTCTTGTGTCTTCAAGTGTTATTGGAGGGTCTGCACCCTCGGGCTGCGGCAGCAGCAGCAGCCGCACAGTCACCAGCAGCAGCAGCAGCTGCTGCTGCTGCTACAGCCGAAACGGCAAGGCGGCGCCTTGGGATTCTAGGGAGTGACGAACCAAGCCCACGTGACGTTCGAAGCTTGTGGGGCTCCTCGCTGGTGCAGCAGCGGCTAACTGCTGCAGCAGCAGCTGCTGCTGCAGCAGCTGCTGCAACAGCTGCAGCAGCAAACGCTTTTGCAACTGCTGCAGCAGCAAGCGACGCTACCGGCCCAGTTGATTCCGTGGGGCTGCAGCCGCAGCAGCAGCAGCAACTGCAGCAGCTGATGCAGCAATAACTGCAGCAAACCAAAAGTCTGACCTGTCGGCTTTGCTGTTGAGAATGAATCCGCCACACGAGGAACCCGCAAAGCAGTTGCTTCTTCAGCAGCAGCAACTGCAGCAGCAGCTGCAGCAGCAGCAGCAGCCGTCGCAGCCAGTGCAGCAGCAGATGCCAAGACAAGTTGCAACTGTGAAAAAAGCATGGCTGCAGCGGCCGCAGCAGCCGCATCAGCAGCACCAACAAATGCAGCAGCAGCAGCAACTGCAGCAGCAGCCGCTGCTGCAGCAGCAGCAGCCACAAAAGCTACCGCAGCAGCAATCGCCGCTTGAGCAGCAACAGCTGCCCCGTTTGCATGTGCATGAGCAGCAGCAGCTGCAGCGCCAGCCGCAGCCGCAGCAGCTGCAGCAGCAGCAGCCGCCGCAACAGCAACAGCAGCGGCAGCAGCCAATGCCGTTGCAGCAGCAGGATCAAACAAACCAACCTGCAACCAGCCAGCAGCAGCCCCGGAAGCCCTTCGAGCCGCCGTGGGTTAACCAGCAACAGCAGCAGCTGCTGCTGCAGCAACACCATTTGCTGCTGCAGCAGCACAAAGAGCAGCAGGAGCAGCAGAAGGCATTCTTGCCTCTGCAGAAGAAAGAGACCGAGCCAGGCGCTGCAGTGCTTGCTGCTGCCGCCACCAGCGGCAGCAGCAGCAGCAGCAGCAGCAGCAGCCTCATGGCGTCCTTCCAACCCTTGGAGCCTCCGAAGGAAAGAAGTGCTCTGACTGTGAGGCTGTCTTCTCTGCTGCTGCGAGAGCAGCAGCAGCTGCAGCACCCGCTGCAGCAGAAGCAGCAAATTTTAAGCTCCCCTGTACAACGACAGCAGCAGCAGCAGGAGCAGCAGCAGCAGAACCAGCAGGTGCTGCTGCAGATGCCACAGTATCGGCAAGTCTCTCCCTTTGCACGCCGAAGCTCCGGCCTGCCTCGGAAGCTGGTCTCTAGCAGCAGCAGCAGCAGCAGCAGCAACGAATACAGCATAGGGGAGAGCAGCAGCATCAAGGGCAGCAACAGCGAAAGCAGCAGCAGCAGCATCAGCGCCAGCAGCATATGCTTTCCTGCTTCAGCTGCAGCGGCAAGTCCGCAGCTGCAGCAGCCCGTCGAATCGTTGCAGCAAAGCCTGTGGCTGCTCAGAAACAGCGAGCAGCAGCAGCAGCAGCAGCTGTTG